CAATAAAATGTTAAAAACCAAATGAAGTGTAAAATGGAGGGCAGTTTAGGCTGCTGGAACATTTTGAAAAGCAAAATATGAGTTATATTTATATATATATAAAGGCAAAAACAAATACTTGAAGTTCTCATGCCTTGACGAATCCAACCTAGAAAGCCTGAGACAGACGTGAGGAAGTGAATCCGATGGGCTTGCACGCACCGGCCGCGCGCCCTGGGCCCTGGTGTCTCCTACTGGTCGTAAGGTAGAGGGCCGGGGAAATAAAAAGTAAATAGCGCTCCTTTCTTAACACTGACCATGCAACACTGAAGTCATTTAAAGAGTCCCGTGCAACTGGAGTGGCTTCCCAGGCCCTCGTAGGCCCTTGACTTGTCTTAAGAGTACCAGTGGGGATGGGGATCCCCAAACCGTAGCTGGGGCCATAGGGGAAGGCGCCAGTGGGACCAGTGCTCCATCACGGCCTTTAGTTCAGCCCAGCAGATCCTGCTGGGTCTCCACAGGCCATCCCCCGGCACATCCCAGGCACTTCTGCCTGTCCCTGCCCTTGGGATGTGAAATCTGGTTTGGGAGAGACCACAAGCATCCTAAACCATGCCTGGGCCCCGCTGGGGACTGCCTGTGTGGGCTCAGGCCTCGGGCTCATGGGGTATACAGTGAGCTAATAAGGTTCCCTAGGTGGCAGAAATGGTGAAGCGTTTGACTACTAACCAAAAGCCTGGCGGTTCGAACCTATGCAGAGGTGCCTCGGAAGAAAGTCGTGGTGATCTGCTTCTGAAAGGTCACAGCCTTAAAAATCCTATGGAGTGCAGTGCTACCCTGCACACATGGGACAGCTGTGAGTCAGAATCAACTCCATGGCAACTAACAACAATGCTAGTGCCAGACTGTGGTGAGAAATAAACACAGAAATGCATCTAATGTGCATGTGACCGTGTCCGACCAGAGCAGCCTCTGATGGTAGGAGGGGGCAGGAAGCCCTGTGCAGGCACTGACAGAGGCTGGGTGAGGCTGAGGCACCTTTGCCTTGCCCCTGGACCTGGCACAGGTGAGGTGGCTATTAGTGGCAGCTCTGTGGTCTTAGAGGCCTGGAGGGAATTAGAATTGTTACACCGACTGGACGAGGCAATCTGAGTGAATGTGTTTCAGAACGGGAAAGCATCTGGTAAATGTGACATGCTGGTGGTGTTAAAAAATGTTCCTTGAGCCCCTTCCCCACCTACTGTGTCCCAGGACCTGTGTGGGGGCACCAGGAATTCAGTGGAGAATGGCGCCGTGCATTTTTCTGTCCTCAGGGTCCGATGTGAGCCTAAGATTGTATAAGTGTGGATGCAGTCACTAAGTCCTGAATGCCATTGCCACAAATAGCTAGCATTGTTTGGGTGCTCATCCTGTGCCAGCATTTCTACGCACTTCCCTTGGCTTGATGGGGGACGGTTGGCAGGCGCCCCACCAGGCGAGCCCGGGAACCTCTCTGCAGCCTCAGAAGCCTGGGACACTGGGATCGACCTGCAGGAGTTCAGTTCTGGGGACCCGGAGGACAGCAGCTCCAACCCCTCAACTCCCCCCTCCTCCAATCAAACTGACCTCCCCTAGAGAAACTGACCTCCCCTAGAGAAACTTCTAGGGGTTGTATTTCAGAAGAAAGGAAATGGTCCCAGACGGAAATTGAGATGCAAGAAGATTTTCATGACTCAAGGTATGGAAAGATTTGTTCAACTTGACAAAAAAGAACAAAAAGATTGATATTTTCAACTCCATTAAAATCAAGTACCCAGTTCATCAGAAACCAAACCTGTTGCCATCAAGTTGATTCTGACTCATAGTGACCCTATAGGACAGAGTAGAACGGCCCCATAGGGTTTCCAAGGAGCAGCTGGTGGATTTGAACTGCCGACCTTCTGGTTAGCAGCCGTTGCTGTTAACCACTGCGCCACCAGTACATCAGAAGACACCGTAGAATGTGTGAGCCACGTGCTGGCCGAAGATATCTGCAATACTTACAACAGTTCACAAGATCCAGATTATTAGAAAGAATTCCTATGAAGCCATTAGATGACAGACCTATAAAAAATGTATAAACAATGAAAATCAATAAAAAATTTTACAGAAGAAGAAATATATATGGCTAGTAAATCTATGAAAATAAGCTCAGTCTCATTAGTAATCATGAAAATAGAAATTAAAATCTAATGAGGTATATAGAAAATCCCGAGGAATTTACCAGAAAAAAAAAACAACTCCTTGAACTAATGAGTAAGTTTAGCAAGTCACGGGTACAAGGTCAGCACACACAAACAAAAACATCAATTGCATTTCTATCTACTAGCAATGAACAATTAGAAAATGAAATGTTAAAAAACTTCTTATAATGGTTCCTCCCAAACGCAGATGTAAAATATAACAAAATGCGTATAGGATCGATGTGCTTAAAACTACAAAACATTGGCAAAAGAAGTCAAAGAAGACCTTCATAATTGGAGGGACGTACCGTATTCATGGATTGGAAGACTCAACATAGTAAAGGTGTAAATTCGCCCCCAACCGATCTGTAGATTTAACACAGTTCTGATCAAATTCCCAGCAGGATTTTGGGTCAATATTGAGAGGCCGATTCTAACTTTATGTGTTGGGGAGAGGATCAGCCTGTCTCTTGAGATGGGGAGACCTCTGAGAAATGGTTTGTCCTGAGACCACTGCTCAGAAGCTGGTCACCTGCGCTGGCAACTTTCTTGATTTACTGCAGATTCAGAGAAAGTTTTTAAAGTCTGTTGTGTGAACCACAAACCCAGGAGCCGTCCCCATCACCTGAAATCTTCAGTGATCTTAAAGTCCAGCTGGTTTCTTTTTTTCAAAATTATTTTTTTACTTTATGAGGGATAAACTCCTGCGTACCCGTTATATGGTGTAAGAAACAGGATATTATGGCTCCCGTACACCATTCCCGATGACACAACCCCCTCTCTCCCAGCTGGGTCTCTGCTCAGCAGGCTCTGAGGAAGATGAGTTCTGAAGGAATTTGGAAGTGGTGATGACCGTATGCCTGACTGTTTGGGCCAAGAAGACGCATCCGTTCACGGGCCAGATTTTGTACCCATTGGATTTGAGGAGTTGAGGGGCAGGGCCAGGACCTGGGTGAGGCAAGTAAGGTGCAACATTTCATGAGGCGCTCACCTTCAGAGCTGTGCAAATGCTGGGGGACTTCCAAGTAGAGAAGTCCAGTGGCAGGTGGGTGTGTGGTCTGTAGGCCAGAGAGAGAAACGGGCTGGAGGTGGGTGCCTGGGCTTACCCACCCACGTAGTGCTTTAAGCCCAGGTCTAACAGAAGTGAGGAGAGGGAGAAGCCTGAGGAGGCCCTGGGGAAGAGGAGCTCAGAAACTCTGAGATGAATAGCAGAACCACTCTGTCCTGGCATCAGCTCCCTCCCTGCAGGCCTCCTGCTGGACATACTGTCTGCTGGACATTCCGTTCCTCCTCTGGGCTCACCAACCTGGGTGCAAACCCATCCCCAAAGCAGACAGAGCCAGAGCCGAGAGAGCAAGAAAAAGGTTTGGTTTCTCCAACAAGGAGACACAAGTAATTGGACAGAGTTGAGGGGTGATTAAACTGGAACCCCATCGCCCAGCTGGTGACTCCAGCTAGGGTCAGCTTCTATAACCCGGGGCTCCATGCCAAATGCCCACAGGGCCAGGCAAGCACAGCCAGTGGGTGAAGGGGGCGGGAAAGGGAGACTACTATTCCACAGCGTAAGAGAGCAACAGTGAGCGCGTCAGCCGATGGCACAGGGTGGGGAAGGCCAGGGTATGTGGTCCACTGAGGACTCTAGGATCTTTCTAAAAGGACAGTTGCAACTCGTTCCCACCCACCGTGGCTTGGGAATTAGGTCCCTCGTGGCCAGAACTATGGATTTCTCAAGAAATGTCTGAAATCTGGATTTTTCACGGGAAATATCCTGTTTTAAATAATAGCAATTTATTCAGAAAAGTTTTAAAAACTACATGTCAATACTGTTTGGGCCAAGAACAAATTCTGTGGGCTGAATTTGGCCAAGTCCCTCTGTTTGCAACCTCTGTGTTATCCCTGTGAATTTTCTAACAATGGTAATTTTTAAAAAAGGTTACTGATCAAGTCGATTCCGACCCATGGTGACCCCATGGGTTACAGAGTAGAACTGAGCTCTATAAGCTTTTTTGGCTGAAATCTTTACAGAAGCAGATCACCAGGCCTTTCTTCTGCAGCACCACGGTGGGTTTGACCATCCAACCTATTGGCTGGTAGCCGAGTGCAAACCATTTGCATCCCCGGGGACCTCGTTTTCTGACAGTACCCAGCTTGACTGTGACTCAGAGGGGCAAGTCTTTCCCATTTCCCTCTGGGTTCCTACCTGACTTCAGCTGAAGTGCTTTCCACCAGAGACGGGGAAGGCAGACGCCCCGCACGGGGAAACGTGCGCCTCACAAGTAACGAAGCCTCTTCCTTTCTGTTTTCTCGTGCAGGTATTTGGGTTCTGGGTCTGGATCCTGGTAGCCGCCACCCAGGTAGCAAACCCGTTACTGCAAGGATGGGTGATATACGTCTCGCTTACCTCGTTCCTCATCTCCCTCATGCTCCTGTTGTCTTACTTGTTTGGATTTTACAAAAAGTATGACTCCTGGACAGTCCTGGTAAGAACAGAGCGGCTCTTCCTGGACTGATGTTCTGGGGGTTGTGAGAACAACCAGCCCTTCTGGTCGGGAGGGAGAACCGGAGACCAGGGAGCAGAGACCCCTCCGGGCAGAAGCCCACAGGAACCGAGACTTTACCCTAATGTGTTTGATTAAAAAAACAGAAATTGCTGTCGAGTCGATTCTGACCACAGCGACCTTATAGGACAGAGTAGAACTGCCCCATAGGGTTTCCAAGGAGCGGCTGGTGGATTCGACCTGCCGACCCTTCGGTTAGCAGCCAAGCTCTTAACCACTGCGCCACATAGTAAACCAAATTAAAGCATTCCTCTGCCAGAGCAGCTTTTTCATCATATCCCCTTCACCGCCTTCCTGTGTGAGTGCGCACACCGCCTGCGATCAAGCACAAACACACTCTGACGTGTTTCCCTGCATTTGATTTGCGGTGAAATCATTGGAGCAACATTGCAGGAAATGCTAGGAGAAGAAAAGCTACCCCAGGCTCACGGCCTGATCACCACACTGGGTTCATCCTTCCACATTCCTCGGGGATTTTATGCTACATATACATATATATTAAATCACATTAAGCAAACAATTTTGGGTATAGATTCTTCCATTTAATATTACATCATTGATTCTTTTCATGTTGCCACATCATCCTGATAACCGTTTAAACGTTTTCAATATTGAACAATGTAAAACATGCACCAAAGTTGAGAGAAGTGTGTTAAGAACCTTCGTGCAACCATAAGCCAGATTCTAGCATTATCAAGAGTTTACCACGTTTGCTTTATCTAGCCTTTTTTTCCCCGAAGAATTTTAAAACAGCCCCCAGACATCATGTCACCTCATCCCACACACGTCAGTATATCTGTAGCCAAAAAATATGCAACCTTTCTTATATTATCACAGCTATGCAAAGTTAGCAATAATTCCCTGGTATCGTCTAAGACCCCGTTCACCTTCAGAGTCCCCGAATTGTCTCCCGAATGTCTTTTTTTCCGTTGGCTTGTCTGAATCGGGATCCCCACAAGGCCACACGTTGCACCTGGCTGTTACAGTTCTCAGGTGTCTTGTAAACTAGGACGGCCCTGGCTGCCAGCGACCTGCTGAAGAAACCAGGTTGGCAGTCCTGTGACGGGCCGGCGTGGGGATTTGTCTGTTTGCTCCTCCTTGGTGTCAGCTGGTGTTCTCCTCTAGTCCGTGTGTTTTTTGTCAAATGGAAGTGTGCACCGAAGGCTTAACTGGAAACAGGTTAAACACTTCTGCCAATAACACTTTTCGAGTGGCTTCACACGTGGTGACTGGCGGTCCCTCCCAGGGGGGTGACAGCCTGACCCCCCAACTCTTTCTCTGATGCTTTCACCCACTGAGGTTGCTTCCTCAATTAAATACTTCATATGGAGTTGCAAAATGCAGATTTGCCAATTATAACGTTCCTTCTAGAACCGATAACCAAAAACCAAGCCAAACCATTGCCGTTGAGTTGATTCCAACTCCTAGCAGCCCTATAGGACAGAGTAGAACTGCACCGTAGGGTTTCTAAGAAGCGGCTGGTGGATTCGAACAGCCAACCTTTTGGTAAGCAGCTGAGCTCTTAACCACTGTGCCACCAGGGCTCCTGAGAACCATTTTTAATGGCTGCACCATATTTTTGTTGAGTTGAAGAATACTGTTGAGAGTTTAGCATAGAGCTTCAAAATTTGAAATCTGGAATCAGATCAGCCTGGCTCTGCCAAGTCCGCCATGTGTCAGCTAAGTGTCAATGTCCCCATCTGTAAACTGAGGATAATAAGAGCAGCCACTTCACGGGATTGGCCGAGAACATTAAATGAGATGACACGTGTCTATTGTTCAGCACAATGCCCGGCACTGAGCAGGTCTTCAGGAAGTCAATGGTTAAGAACATAAGCTTGGCATGAATGTGGCCTGGCTTCAAATCCTGGCTTAGTTATTTATCCACCAACCTTAACCTTGACCTTCAGTTTTCTCAAAATGGGGCTAATGATAAACTGTGCCTACCGCATAGCTGACAATGCTCAATGACATAAACAAGAAGAAGCTTAGCACAGAGCTCGGCACGGAATAAACACTTGACGAACGCTGACTGGTACTGATATTGTTATCCCTGTTTGTTGACCCCCTATCATCCGCCACATAGTTGTTTCAAGTAGAAATACCGCAAATAAATGTAGGAGTCTGGGGGGCGGAGCTTGTCTTTTTGTATCCTCCCCCAGCTGTATAACCAAACCAAACCCAAACTCATTGCCAACGAGTCAATTCCGACTCATAGAGACCCTATAGGACAGACTAGAACTGCCCCAGAGGGTTTACAAAGAGCTGCTAGTGGATTCGAACTGCCAACCTTTTGGTTAGTAGCTGAGCTCTTAACCGCTGCGCCACCAGGGCTCCCCAGGTTGTAGTCAGAGAGAGAAGTGCTCACCTGCTTACACATCCAGTAACTGTGGCCTCTGCTCTGTGCTTCCAGGACAGCCTGTACCACGGGACCACCAGCATCCTGTACATGAGCGCTGCTGTCTTGCAGGCACACGCCACCATCATTTCTGAGTCCCAGGACCTGCGCAATTACTACATCAACGTCGCAGCCTCGGTGAGCCAGCCCTGCCACTGCTGGGCGGGAACACTGGAGGCCGCCATTGCTGGAGAGCACCGCTGAGGCTTCATTCTGCCTCGTGTGGAACAAAGGACCCTGAGCTCTCGATCTGGAGTAGCCATGGAGGGTGGGGAGGGATGTGTGCGTGTGTGCGCGCGTGTTCCTGTGCGTGCATGGGTGTGCGTGCGTGTGTGTGCCATGTGCATATCCCTGTGTGCTCACCCGTGTTTCTGAGCTCACGCCACGTGCAGACCCAAGCTCAGGTGTCAGCTTTCGCCTTCCGTGTTTTTCCACCTCAGCCTCGCTCCCTTTTCCGTCCACCACATGGTCTTCAGAATAATCTTCTTCCAAAACACAAAAACCCGTCTCTCTCTGTTGAAGAGCCTTTGACGGCTCCCACCGCCTGCAGGGTGAGGCCCGGAAGCCCGGATTCCCAGCCTGTTTCCTCGTCCTTTTGTTTCAGCGACAGAAGGACAGTATGTAGGCTGACGGAACCCAAGGCCAGGGGTCCAGCCATGTCATGGGAAGGGCAGTGTCCCCAGGCCTTAGGCACATGGGGCCAGGGACATTCTCTAGCCTTTCTACACATCAGCCTCCTTTTCTGCCTCTGCTGACTGGGGCCCTTACATGGCAGGGAACTCATAGCTGCCCGATTCTTCCT